AGATGGACCTGGGGAGAGAACAGAGCTAAGAGAATTGGACACAGATTTTTGCACAGTTACTGCATCATATCAACGCTATCTGAATGTTTTAAGTACAAACTTCAAGTTCAAGCTCTTTACTCATTTCACTTCTGGCTACAGCAGTAAAACACAGCGAGGATCAGTCACTCTGAAGCCGCTAAGATTTGACACCAGCAACCTGTCTCTGCAAATTAACAGAGACTGTCAGCGCATCTAACAAACTTCTTTTGCATTCAAGTCTGTATCCAGCCTGAAGTTTTGAGAAAAAGGAGAAGCATTCCCATCTCCCCAGCAAGAGCTAATGGGGCTCAATTGCAGGGAGACAAAAAACACCAGGAAATAAGTCCTGGGAAGTTTTACCCTCCTACCGGAAGGGTGGACGCAGGGCTTATTGCATGGCAGGCCTTTTCACAGCAAACAGGAAGAGCAAAGTCATAAGTCTCCCGAACTCCTCTGATATCGGAGCAGGAGGAGGGAGGCCCTGCCATTGCCCAACAGTGGGAAGGCATACTGCCTCAAGGGTGGGGATGGGGATTTTTTGCACAGAGCTTTCTTGCCTTCTCGCGCAGCTATAGGGAAGACTGGGGCAAAGGATGGGATCGCGCTCGGCTGAGGATAATCAAAGCAGAAGCAGACATGGTCTTCGTAAAATAAACAATGGCAATGTAAACACAATAAAAGACTATTTCAAAAAAAAAAAAAAGCTTTTCACCTCTACTTGACAAGCCCCTGGGAGCACAGGTGGTCTCTGGTGAGACTACCAGCATATTTTCTCTCCAATCAGAAAAAGCATTTGCCAGTTTGGTGCATGGCTCTGGCAGGCAGCGGCCAAGCACAGGGCTCCTGAGGAATATAAAGTAACAAATCCAGGAAGGGAGAAAGTCTGCGGAAACACACAGTTGCTTTAGGAGCCTCAGCAGCACAGGTAGGCCAAGAAGATGATGGCTTGGGGATACGCTCTCATTCCCGCCTCTCAATTAGCCACTGCAGCCAGAGGATAACAGGAACATAAAACACGGATCAGAAGATGACATTGAAGGGCCTGGGTCAATGCTGATGGCTAAGGCAGCTTCTCCTAGGACCTACCACACAGTTTTCAAAGCACAGAAGGAAGGATTCCCATCAAGAGCGTTTCACAGACCTGCAAGAAAACGGGACTGGCACAGGAGATCTGCACCCAGGGCTAAGTCCCAGTTAACCAGTCCCCGGTTTCAGCAACCCCACACCAAAACCCTCAACATATGGGTTCCTCCCTCCACCCATTGGTCCTCTGGGCCACTGTCGAGTTGTTTTTGGTTTCTTTCCTGGCTGTTTCAGCTGCATAAAAGCTCCTTTTCGGGAAGCACTAGAGACTATTGACACTGAAAGCAATCCTGCCCATGCCATCACTGCAAGAACAGCATGCTGGAGCTTGACTTAGATGAGCGAGACTAACCCCAGCCTCTAGCTGGATAAACAAACCTCAGCTTAAAACACCTCCAACCCTCCAGATTATCCTCTGTGCAGATAGGCTAGAAGTCAAAGAAGAGCCTGGATTAACTATGCAAATAAAGCATCCCAATACCTCCCTTGACCTGCTGTATGGGATTGCTCCTTGGGAGCCAAGCTCTCCTCCCAGCAGTGGGGCTGAGCTGACAGTAATGAAGATGGGAGGCAAGTGCTCATGGAGGAAGGCACCTGCCTTCCAGGGAGCAGCTAGCCGAGGAGAACATTACAGCTGTAATTTTGTACTCAAAGTGACAAAACAGGAGACGGTATCATTGATCCGGGTAGAAAACGCAGTGAATTCCTGTGGGCGTTTCAACTCCTCTGCAGCTGGGAATGACTAAAATTATACTCCAGCAGCAGAAGTTGACAGCAAACAAGCGCCTCTTCTCCGCGGCCAGGTAGCCAATTCTGCACGCTTCCCTCAAAAAGTAAATAAATCCTTCAGCTTCAGCCAGGCTGATCTCACCTGGCATCCACGTACGTCCTCCCTGCCAAGCTCCCTTTGCGCGCAGGGTGCGACGGCATCCTTGCATGCCTATCTCCATCGGCACCTCCCCTCCAGGGTTCCCACATAATATAGGCCATTAATTATCCTTCTGTATGTTCCCTCCTGCTCGAGTGGAATTTTCATGTGGGAGTGAGAGAGGTGCAAAGTAACTCAAGTGGCCAGAAGAGCTTGAGGGAAGAGTTTAGAGGCATTCCTAACATGGAGATATTGTTAGCTACCCTTTTAAAAAGCATTAAACTCTAGCAGTGAGAAGCGCTACATAAAAAGCTAGGCATCAACTCCCTTGTTCTGCTACCGTCTAATAAGTAGAAAGTCAGTGCCATTGTTTGAGATCTAAGCAAAAAGTACTTTGAGACCTCAAAAATTAGGGTTTTTGAGGCAATTATCTCCCTCCGCCGTCTCCAAGGCTAAAGAAACACAGCCCAATTATTTCTTTGAAGGCTAAATATTTACTCCTAGATTAAGTGCAATAGCTCAGACTGGAGATGAATTATCCACCTCTGACGTCAGCTAGTCTAATGTCTTTGAGTAAGAAAAGCAAAACGAAGATGCAGATATGAACAAAAAAGGCAGCTTTCTCCTGGACTGCACACAGACCTGTACAGAGAGGAATGGGATGAAGCTGTTTCAGCTCACTTAAGCCACTGCACTGGGCAAGGTCCAAGACATTTAGCTTAGCCCTGGCACCACACTTCAATTTCCTTCAGGCAGCCCTACCCAGGTGTTTTCCGCTCCCAAGTACGGAGAGGCAGAGAAAGTGGACTACAGGAAAAAGCAAATTAATTTCTCACCGTATGAAAGGCAGTCATGGCTGCTCCCTATGGGGAAAAGAACCACGTATGTGCCATCCGCTCTAAAGAGCGGGTAGATCACAAGGTCACCCTTAAGTGATGACCGAAAGCAAGTTGTGAATTCAAGTATTTTTCAGCACATAAATGGCATCTCAGTAGATCAGACGGCACGTTGAATATGGGCAAAAGTTTTTGCATGTCATCAAACCTCTCAGGTGAGACTCTGGCCTTGTGGAGAAGCTGCAGTCTTCTTTTTGGAGAAAGACCTACCCTGCGGAGTCAGTAGGACGAGCTATCTCGAACAAAAGGGTGGGAATTCCTCCTGAACCTCCAGCAACAGTTAGCTCATACACACCCCATGCTGAAGCAAGCATTAATCAATCAAAGTCAGCTTGCCTTTTAAAATCCCTCTCGCATTACTTACATCTCACTCCAGGTTTCAAAGCTCTCGGCTTTTGCCCCCTCCAGTCACTATTCTTTCCCAGACAGTGGGTGCCAACACTTGGGTTAGGGCACCAAAAAAGCAGCTATGTGCAAGAAACCACCACCGGCACAAACACGGTGACTCATCTTCTCTGAAGACAGATGAACAAGAGCGCTCTGTTCAGCGAGACTGCCTGAAGTTTCAGTTGCGATCTGATCTCGCTACATGTGCTCAAGACAGCATGCAGAAATATTTCCTCGGGGGATCTTCCCATGGGACTTAACTCTGACACATATTCCCACAGGACTCGTTCTTTTAAAAGTGCTATTTGTTAGTAAGTCAGTGGGAATTTTGCTTTATAGAAATACCAATGGGGTGACGGAGAGCCAGAGTTGGGTGCTGGCAGCCGGGTTCATTAACACAGCGCGAGTACTAACTGCGAGTCATGCCCCGCATTGAATCCGACGGAAGAACTTGTGAGGCTGCAAGAATAGCCATCCTGGGGCAGACCAGAGGTCTGCACAGCCCCGTATCCTGTTTATGCTACCCATGGCCTCTTCTCCACCCTGAGCAAAAGGGAGCTGGAGAGCACTACAGCAGGGAAGGAGGAAGAAAGAAGTTGTTTTCTGCATACCTGTATGTTGTACTGCGTCAGCTTTAAAATTCTAGCTTAGTTTTCTCTTCAAGTCACGCCTTTATATGCTCCATGCTTCAGTCTGACACGGTTTGCTTAATTCTAGCGCTCAGACATCACACACTACATTTGCCAATTCAAAAAATGAAATCTAGTGAAAGCGTTAAGGCCTGTGAAGCCATACATCCAGAGAACTGTCACATGCACAAAGTACGTGCCAACATTTTAAAGTCACATCTGAGTAATCCCAAGACAACCCTAGTAGGCTGAAACATCTCCATTTTGCAGGACTTGAGAGAAGGAACAGACAGGAAAACATGGCTGTAAATGACAGTCAAGTAGTCCACAACACCAGAAGCACAATATACAGGGCAACTCAACAAGGAAAGCACGGCAGATGTCAAGATACTCTCCCTTTCCTTGTCTCTTCTTCCCTCTCGTCAATAAACATAATGCTTTTGCTGGAATTGGCACTTCTGTACTCACTTTTCACCCACAGAGAGCTTCCCCCCCACACCCAGCTCTTATACTTTTACCAAAGTTATTCCGGGCAAACACAGAGATATATGGAAAACAAGTGCTTTGTGTGTGACATTTCAAGTTCAAAACCAGTGCGGGAAATAATCTATGGCACTTTCCTGCCCTGCTCGGAGCATGTGGACTGCAGGAATGTACGTACCTGCTTTCCCACACTTTCCTGGCTGTTGTGGGTGGCCAGCACAGGCATGTCTCATCCACTCCTCAAAATGCCTGAAGTGGCAGCTACCAAAGCTCTTCGAAAATCACCGTTCTAGGACAATGACTTCTATCAACATAGGCTCGTGACCTCAGTTAATTGTCACTCATTCTACATGGGATAAAACAGCACTGAATAACTTCTCCAGACAAAGAGGAAAACTGAGAACAACTCAACTCATTTCAACGTAGAGTGCTGCAGGCGCAAGGACACAGTTACTCTGTGTTTAAAAGATGCATAACCTGAAAACCATTCAGACAATGATAACACATGAGGGGAAAAAAACAGAATCAAACTGCTCAGCCCTGCGGGCAAGATACATTTTGATTAAGGTGTCAGTGGTACGGAAGGGAGTGGGAAGAAGGGTTACGGATGGCTGAACGTCCGTCACCTCTCACCTGATGCCAGAGGCCGGATCCACTCTTTGCTATTTAGGTCAAGCCTCCAGAGATCATTGAACGCAGCATTACAACTGCTCTGCGTGCAGCCACCAAACACATACATCGACTGATTAGCGTCATAGTAACACGCACCTAAAAAAAGAAAACAGAGATCAGTCATTTCTCTTCTCTGAGCCTAACATTTTTGGTCAAAAAAATACCCGTCAACCCAGGTTTTGTAGGGGAGAAAAACAAAACAGGCTACAGCGACTTCAATGAAAGCGTGGGCTCGCTTAGGAATATCCCTGACCAATGTAAACCTGCAGCAAGAGCCTTTTAAGGTGATTATCCCTCCAAGCAGAGCTGCTCCTGAAAGCGCGAAGAAAGCTGCCTTAGACGCTTGCAGTTAATTAGATTAGCTAGGATTAAAGCATTCAGCACACTTACCTTCTCTAAGCTAGTCCATAGTGTTTGCAGAGCTGCCAAATGTTACTAAGTGACTGCCCTGTGTATCTAAGCCTGGTAACTTATCCCCCTTTCCCAGAGCTGACAGCATTTTACCTTATCTCATCCTAGGAAAACTCCACAGGAACACAGGTATCTTACATGAGCATCCCCTTTGCTTCTCAGAGGACAGGATAACACAGTGAAAAGGGAGACAGGGAGGGAACAAGTCTTGCCAACCCCTCAAAAC